AAAGAGCCATCATCTGTTGAACAGGCTCTGCTGTCCATGCCTGCCACACCCGTGCCATCTTTCCCCAAAGAGACCACCTCCTCATCCTCTAAGCATGGAGGCGACCACGGCCACCATCACCACCACCATCACCATGAGCATAAGAAGAAGAAGAAGAAGCATAAGCACAAGCACAAGCACAAGCACAAACATGAGAGCAAGGACAAGGAGAAGGACCGAGACCGGGACAACTCGCACACCTACAGCAACAGCCCGGCCAGCGGCAGGTCGCTGCGCTCGCCCTCTCTGTCCGACTGAGCGTCCAGAGGCTGGCGCTCTCCAGCTGCTGTTGGCGCCGGCTGGGTTAACGGCTTGCATGTGGCATGCAACAGCACACTTGCCTCCGTTGCTTCCATGTCTGGACTCAACATTGATTCCTCAGTAGTATTATGAACAGGAACTCTGCTGTTGCAGTGTAAGCCTCAGAACCGAAGTCCTCGGCACAGACACCGGGGAAACTTCCACTGAGGCTGTGATGTCATCCAGGTAAACCCTCCCGAGACCTCCCTGTGTCCTTACACCACACACACGTACACCACTTCCAGGCTGTGTGGGGCGTGCAACCACACACACCTCTCTCCACAAACAGCCTCACCCCACAGCTCAATCCCAGCATTCAGCGTCTGCTGAGGGGAGAAGTGACGGCTCGTGTTGTGGATTCTGCATGGACGGCGTGCAGAGACATTAAACTGATGGATTTCACTGCACTGCACCACTGAAACTCGAGTAGTGTGCGCGCGCGTGTGTGTTTTATACTTTGCTTCCTAATTGCATATGTTTTGGTATCCACAGACGTTGTAACTGCATTAAACAGCGTTCGTGGCTGGGTTTACTCTGGCATCATGTCTTAGCTTTGATTAGGTGGTTTTAACCAATGAGAAGAACAGAAGTCATTCAGCATTTAGATAAACAGCTGAGCCCTCTGTCATCAAAAACGGTTTTTGTATCTTCTGGTTCACCTCACCATGCCGAAATCCAACAATAAAAGAAAAAGATTGTGTCACTCTTCAAATGTTGCCGTTCTTTCCTCATTGTGTACATGTGAATGTTTGTGGGAAGCCTCCTCCTCAGCCTGTCAGGAGGTTGGAAATTCCCTTGATGGGATTGTAGTGTTTTCATTGAGTTAATGACAGTTGTACGAGTCCAAAACCTGTAAAATGCAAATGGGCTGCAGCACAATGTAGAGCGTACCAACTACAAGATGAACTTTTGTAAGAGATCAGTGTAATTTTTTATTGTAGTTTTATTTGAATGGAGCCAGAATATCAGCCAAGCATCAAGAAAAAAGACTTTGTTCTGAACTGTTTTGCATGTCACTGAGTGAAATAAGGATTTGTTCCTCCCCAGGTCTGTGCGCCTGTGTTGCACACACATTACAAGCAATCACTTAGAGCTATTCCCGATCTCAGCTTGATATGTGTATAAGGCACCAGTCCAGTCAGTTTCTGCCATTCCAACCTCTCCTCCACCGTCGGTAGGACCAAAGAGCTGGAGGTCGGGATAAGATCGTAGACCTGCAGGAGGCTGAAATGAGCTACGATGCCATCAGCAAAAAAGCTCGATGAGCAGGTGAGATGACTGACATAATAATGGAGCAGTTATTCAGAAATGGAAGAAATGTTAAGTGACCATCAATCAGCCTCGGTCTGGGGCTTTCTACAAGATCTTGCCTCGTGTGAGGACGATCATGAGAAATGTGGTGAATCAGACTAACTGCACCAGAGGAGCTTGTTGAGGAGGCAGGTGCGCAGGCTCATCTTACGTTCACCAGTGAACGTGTGTCGCAGCTGCAGCAGCAGTCGTGTGGTGTTGTGAAAAAAAGGACCGAAATGCAGGGACTGACATAGACGTGAGGGGTGAGCTTTGATTTACATGAGGCGATAATACAGATAAAGATAATACAACGGAGGTGGCGAGGACAGGAACTAAGATAAACCTGAACTGGAAAAAACTAGTAAAGCTGAAATCATAATATGCAGGGAGAGAGAGGGGAATGACACACTGAAGGAGGACACAGCTGAACCTGATTAGACACAACAGAGACAGACCCTCAGAGTAAAACAGGACAAAGTCAGGGACACGAACAGAGCACCGGGGGAGGACACAGGATACCAACATCAGAATAAACTAGAACATAAAAGAATAATACTAAACACAAAACGCTGGGTGAAACGACCCAGGACCGTGACAATGTGATTCAGAGGAGAAAGTGTTGTGGGAACATGAAACCAAACAGACCTCTTTGGCATCATCGTGTTTGGAGGAACAGAAATGCTGAGTATATCCCAAAAACACCACCTCCACAGTAAAGCATGGAGGTGGAAACATTACGCTTTGAGACTGTTTCTCTGTTAAGGACACAGGACAACTTCATGTTGCCCTGTAGGGGATAAGAGATGGGACTTGTGTATCGTAAAACCACGGTCCCTTAGCCAGAACACTGAAGATGGGCCTTGAATGGTTCTTCCAGCTTAGCAGTGATATAAAAATATTTCCGAGTGGTCAAAGAAGCACATTAAGGTCACGGAGTGGCTCCAGACTCTCCAGATCTCAGTCCTGCAGAAAACTGTAGAGGGAAGCTTTGAGTTCAAGTCATGTGCTCGCTTGAAGGGGCTCGTCTGTTGGGGGTTTTCTTTGTAGCACTGTGGGGTCTTTACATTACAACATAAAGCACCTTGAGGCAACTGTTGCTGTGATTTGGTGCTATATAAATAAAACTGAATTGAAGTTGCCAAGCAGCAGCCAAGAAACCTAAAGGATTAAGATTTTCTGTAGAGTGGAACAAAATCCCCCCTGAGATGTGTGCAAACCTGTGCTTGCCAATAAGAGTTGTTTGTGTTGTTAGTGTTGTTTGTGTTGTTTTGCCGGAGGACCAAATACTTATTTCACTCAATGACATGCAAACATGAGTTCCTGCCCCAAGTGGAGGAGTTCAAGTATCTCGAGGTCTTGTTCGCGAGTGATGGGAGAAGGGAGCCGGAGATCGACAGACGGATTGGGGCTGCAGCTGCAGTAATGCGGACGCTGCACCGGTCCGTCGTGGTGAAGAGGGAGCTGAGTGTAAAAGCGAAGCTCTCAATTTACCGGTCGATCTACGTCCCTACCCTCACCTATGGCCACGAGCTGTGGGTAGTGACCGAAAGAACGAGATCGCGGATACAAGCGGAGGAAATGAGCTTCCTCCGAAGGGTGGCTGGCCTCTCCCTTAGAGATAGGGTGAGAAGTTCGGCCATCCGGGAGGGGCTCAGAGTAGAGCAGCTGCTGCTCCACATCGAAAGGAGCCAGCTGAGGTGGTTCGGGCATCTGACAAGGATGCCTCCTGGGCGCCTCCTGGGTGAGGTGTTCCAGGCATGTCCCACCGGGAGGAGGCCCCGGGGCAGACCCAGGACACGCTGGAGAGATTAAATCTCTCGGCTGGCCTGGGAACGCCTTGGTATTCCCCCGGATAAGCTGGAGGAGGTGGATGGGGAGAGGGAGGTCTGGGCCTCTTTGCTTAGGCTGCTGCCCCCGCGACCCGGCCTCGGATAAAGCGGATGAAGATGGATGAACATGCAAATCATTACTTTAACATAATGCGCTTTTTCTGGATTTGTGGTTGACATTCTCTCTCCATTTAAAGGAAACTACTTTAAAATTTAGAGACTGTTCATTTCTTTGGAAGTGAGCAAAGATCTCTGAAAAGCGGTTTGCAAGATGGACGTAAGCCCTCTACCTCACCATGTAAAGCACCTTGAAGCGAGTGTTGACATTGTCGAGATGAAATATTATTTTACTGTTACTATTCATAATCCTTATTATTATTGTTGCATCATTTATGATTTATCATTGTTATCATTTCATTGACACATTTATTGAAACTGGTGAGGTTATATTAAAGTCTGTATTTCAGGTGTTAGCATAAGCACATAATCTTTCATTGCAGGTGCAACTGTAATCATGTTACACACATATTGCATAATTAAAGGGTTGAAGCTCGGTTAAGTTAATTAATGGTTTGAAGCTACGGGCAGCGTGATGTCTGGCCGATCAATGGAGCAAAGTTCAGCTATTGAAAGGTTGCCTACATGTTTACAGTATAATTTACTACATGTTGCCTGTGTGCATTTAGCAGCCTGCTGCACTGGAGTTTGCCTGGTAACAGATGACCTAGAGGGAGGTCATGCACTTAGATTAACGACACAGACACATAGCCTGTCTGGGTAAACTGATTGCAAGTGTTGTCTAAGTCTAGAAAAGTGTAATAACAGGATGCATCTGGGCGGCGGTGGAGGAACTGAGAGAGGAACTGTTCTGTTTAAGAATATCTGACATAGAATTACTGGAACAGGCATGTTGTTTTTCATCTGCGGTGACGGAGTTACTGGTCATCATAAGTATAAATATCACACCCACCTATTGTCAGGCGGGAGATGGAGCCTGATGTTTTGCAGACCCCATTTTCACCACATGTATGTGTTTTAATAAAATCATTTGTGTTGACCCACTATGGACTTTCAGTCGTATGTCTCTTCCTCAAAATTCGAACCGCGACAACATAAATTAATTAATAAATGAACTTTTGGTTAAATTTAGGCTTCGGCGTATATTTTATTCATTTCTAATTTCAAGTAAAAATCTTGGAACTGACCCAGCATCAGTTTCAGGGCCCGAACTTTAGTCAAGTTTCACTTTTACAGAAGCGGTTTGGCTATAGACGAGTGTCGGCAGCCAAGAGATAGAGATTATTGATACACTGTAAAAAATAAAAATAATTGTCGTGTTTCTTAAGCACCTTACTGTCCTGTGAGTAAATACTCTCAGTCGGAGCTAACCGCAGCTCAGTGGCTGTGGAGACGTTTCCTGTCTCAGCCCGGAGCCCTCCTCCACAGCTGCACCAATCAGAATCCTGTCCGCTCCTTTCAGTCACCTCCCCCTCCCTCGCTGCTGTTCCTCTTCAACGGTCCTCCTCTCCGGTGGTCCTTCGGTGTGGAGAGTCAGCATCAGTCACTCACGGACCTACAGCGCGGTGCAACACCGAGGACGCACAGAGGAACATGTTGCTGCACAAACTGGTAAGAGTCCATGTGCAAGAGTTTTAACTGCAGCTGACTTCCGAAAAATCTGCATGTTTTGTGCGTAAATCCCCGTGCAGTGACGCGTTAGACCGCGTGTTTCTTGGTAGTTTGCGTTATTCTGCGTGGAACCTCTACACCCCGGTGTCCTCCCTGCTGATGAGCATTTGCAGAACAATTGTGGACTCTTCTGTCATTTCCGAAAGGTCACAGATCTGTCAAACTATCAGGCGATTGTGATGCAGCTGAGGGGTGGTCTCTCTCCACTTTGAGCTCAGCACCCCGCGGTGTTCGCAGGTCACGGGGGAAACCTGCAGTTTGTGTTACACCAGCTCAAATAAAGCTTTCATGCATCACAAACTTCTGAAGCTCGTTTATGAGCAGCCAGTGCAAACAAGTCAGTCAATGGTGAAAACGGGGTTTGCAAATGAAAAGTGCTTGAAGTCAAATACGTGACATGTTGCTGTTCCACTGCACTGTTTGCTCGCTGATGAATAAACCTCATGACCCTTTCACTAAGATCTCAGGCGGAGCACTGCAGGTGGAGTGTGAATGTAGGCTGCCATGAATATCTGTAGCAGAAGAGTAACTCTTAAATCCCAGCTTGAGCACCACTGGAAGATGCAGCCTGTAGACTGTATGAATGACTGATGTCGGTACTTTGTGTCCTCAGCTTGTGTGGACCCTGTCAGTCCTGTGCGGGGCTGACATGTGTTGGGGTTTTGTGTATGATCGGCCCAAACGCTCAGGAGAAGACGGGACCTCGGCCAGGACAGAAAGTGAGTACGCTGCTGTAACTACACCGACCGCTGATGTCTGTGTGGACTGTATGGTGCTATAAAAATAAGAACTCATGCATGTAGATATGAGTTTTGTTTTCCCAAGTTATGGTGTTTTATGATACTTAGTGGTTGGTGGTATCAAAATGAAGTCATTTTGACAAACAGAAAATTAGATTTTCATGTTTAACGGGGACCTATTCTGATATAGGTCCCACCTCCATATTTTATCCAAAATATTTATTATTGTAGGTCAAATTAATCCACATTTATCTGCCTCAATTTACTCTGTTATGAAACAAGCTGCTTTAGGTAACCTCCCTTTAAGCCCACTTTGTTCTGGTTGGCCACTCCACGCACACAGAAGGTTTAAACATAAGGCGGCCGACTGTATAAAAAGATGGATGTAGCTACTGTTGACATGTCTGTGAAGTCTCGTCATGAAGCATTTTCACTGTTACTGTCTTGGTATAAAAAAAATCTGATGTGATGGGAAGGGTGTGACTCCTTGTTGTCCGGTGAGCTCGTCAGTTTTAAAACAGCGTGATCCAGATTTATGAAACAGACTTTATTCGTCATTCAGTGCAAACTGAAACCAGTGACTGAGACCATAAACTCAGCAGTAAAGTGTTTACAGAGGTCAACTAAAAAAGCTGTCTGCCCACAATCTTCCATAGGACCACGAGCCTTTTTGCTATCATGGCTATCGCCATCTGGTGGCCTTCAGATAGAATGCAGGGTCAAGTCACTGATGTCCATTTTTAACTTTTTTGAAACACACTCCGTACGTCTACAGATTTTTTGAAACAGAAGTCAAGTTGCAACAGCTGAGCTTTCATAACTGTGCTCTTCAAACATGATCACTTCTAACTTTAGCAGAAAAGACATGGCAGCTGCCAAAACTCGACTCAGACCTAATGCGAGAACTTTATGTGTGGTAGTATTTATTACACAAACAGAAAGTCAAAGACCAAATAGATCAGCAAAGTTTTTATTTCTTTATCAAGTTAAAATGCCAAAAGCCAAATTTCTTCTTCATTGCTGTAGTTGCTGCTTATTGAAGTGATTTTCTTTAAGATTGCTGAAGGTGTTTTGACAAAATGGGCAATTTCAAGGCAGGTTGTGACATTTTTCTCAGTTTGTCTTTTACAAGAAAGATTTCTTAATAGAAAAATCAGTTTTCTGGTGTACGGCAACTGAGAAGAACTGCAGTGTGTTACTTTGGAGCATCAAGCTCATGTGAAACAACCCAGTTTTACTCAAGTCCAGCAGCACAAACACGAGAAACAGCATTAGACGCTTTCATTTAGCTGCCAGAGTGGCTCAGCACGGGGAATGTGAAGTGTGTTTTGGATATGCTTGAATATGTCTTGGCCACGTGTAGGGAGGACATACCTAACTTTCTGCTCCACGTCCAAGACACAAGGTTGTTTTTTTTCTGTTTTGTTGAAACACTGTAAATCTGTGTGAGTCTCAGGTGCAATGAGTCGCCCAGCCATCGACAGGAGTGACATCTCCAAACACTAAACGAAAGCAGCCTGAGTGGGTTGTGTCTGCCGGTGCATATGAAATGGACGGACTGAGCGTGTGTTGGTGGTTGTTACAACGATCAGTGTGACCCTGTGAGGTGGTGAGGGAGGGAGTGTGTTTGTGCTGCTCTGCATTAAGTCAACATTAAGAGCTTCAGAGCTCATTTTCAGTCCCAGATTCTCAAACACAGACTTCTGCTGCACTGCACCGTAGACTGTCGCAGTCTGCGACGGCTGCAGCCCCGTTTCTGGGATTTCTGTGTGTGTATTGGCTGCATGTTGTGAAGAAATTAAAAACTGAATTTGTTCACTGTGTTCATCTGGATCTGGAAGGAACTGTGGACGTTTTGTGATCTCTATTTGCCTTTCCATTCTTGTAATTACCAGTTTTTCCATCACACTTCAGAATCTCTCATTCTGAATTAGAGCAGGGCGATATGGTCAAAAATATTTATCACGATATATATTTGAAAATTTACGATAACGATATAACTGACGATATAATTGACGCGAGACAAAACACAACTCTATCATCATCATCCATTTATTTTCACTTAAACAAGCAGCTGTTTTTTATGTGCATTAAAGCTTTATAAAAATTTAACAGTGCAAATGCAAATTCCTTGCTGACAGTTCCAGTAGAAATGGGCTGACATGTCCTGAGCATAACCATGTATAATATCCACTGAAGTTAAAAAGAGGTGCTTTGCAACATTAAACTGCAGTGTGCCAAATAAAAAAGTCAAATACGTATTTTTCGGACCATAATGAAATTTCCCACTCGTGGGACTAATAAAGGTATCTTATCTTATCTATAAGGTGCACGGGATTATAAGGCACATTAAGCAAAACAAAGCAGTCAGATAAATCAAACTTTATTAAACTCATTCTTCTTGCTTCCTCCACTTCTGTACCATTGATTCATTAATGTTGAATTCTATCACAGCTGCTCTATTCCCATGTTGTTGCAGTATATTAATCACTAACCTTCTATTGTGGATGGATTGTCTCAGTTGTTCTCCTGACTGAAGTTTGGTCCGTTTACAGCATCCTGCCATGCGATTGCATTTGTCCCTAACCATCAGGAACCTTCACGTTAACTTTTATCGAGTGGAAAAGTGTTAGCGTTCAAATCAAATTCAAATCAAATTCAAATTCAAATTTTATTTGTCACGTACACAGTCATACACAGTACGATATGTAGTGAAATGCTTGGACAACTGCTCGTGACCTAAAGAGAACAAAAAAGGAAAAGGCTATGAATAAGATAGGAAATAAATATGAAAAATTAAAAAGGGTAAATTTAACTAGGAAGGAATAAAATATAAATTAAAGTTGAAAATAAAATAACTGTACAACAAAATACACAATACACAATATAGAACTATATAAGAATGTATGAAGAAATCTAAATATAAATAAATATATACACAATAACAGCAGCTGTACAAGTATTAACTGGAAATGAAGAATATAGTGACCAGTGTTGTGCAAAACCAAAGTCCAGAAAGTCCAGTGTGTGTGTAAGAACCATATGTGTGGGTCAGTACTGTGTGGTGGTGTGATTGAGAGACCGTATCGCCTGCGGGAAGAAGCTCCTCCTCAGTCTCTCTGTGTTGCTCTTCAGGGAGCGGAATCGCTTTCCTGACCTCAGCAGAGAGAACAGTCTGTTGTTGGGATGGCTGAGGTCCTTCACCATCTTCCTGGCCTTGGTCCAGCACCGCCTGCTGTAGATTGAGTGCAGGTCAGGGAGCTCGGAGCGGATGGTGCGCTCAGCTGACCGCACAACCCTCTGTAGAGCTCGTCTGTCCTGCATGGTGCTGTTCCCGAACCAGGTTAAGATGTTTCCCGCCAGGATGCTCTCTATGGTGCAGGAGTAAAAGTTCCTGAGCACCTTGGAGGGCAGTTGGAAGTCTCTCAAGCGTCTGAGGTGGTAGAGACGCTGTCGGGCCTTTTTCACCACGGTGTTGATGTGACAGGACCATGACAGGTCCTGCGTGATGTGAACTCCGAGGTATTTGAAGCTGTCCACTCTCTCCACTGGGCACTCGTTGATGACGGGGGTCTGGTAGTTCCTCTCCTGCTTAGTGCTGAAGTCCACTATCAGCTCCTTTGTCTTACTGACGTTTAGAAGGAGGTTGTTCCTCTGGCACCAGTTCTCCAGATTCCTAATCTCCTTCAGGTAGGCCGTCTCGTTGTTATCAGAGATCAGGCCCACCACGACGGTGTCGTCAGCAAACTTGATGATGGTGGTGGAGCTGGTAGTGGCCACACAGTCATATGTGTACAAAGAGTACAGCAGGGGGCTCAGAACACACCCCTGGGGGGCTCCAGTGCTGAGAGTGGTGGAGGCTGAGACATGTCCGCCCATCCTTACTGCCTGTGGTCTGCCAGTTAGGAAGTTGGAGATCCACTGACACATAGATGAGCTGAGTCCCAGATGCTCCAGCTTGGTGGTGAGTGTGGAGGGAATTATGGTGTTAAATGCAGAGCTGTAGTCTATGAAGAGCATTTTAACATAATTCCCCCTTCTAGTGTCCAAGTGAGTGAGTGATGTGTGGAGGAGATGAGAGATGGCATCGTCTGTGGAACGATTTGGACGGTAAGCGAACTGTAGTGGGTCCAGTGTGTCTGGTAGTGAAGAAATGATGAAGTCTCTGACCAGGCGTTCAAAGCACTTCATCACTACTGAGGTGAGGGCTACAGGGCGATAGTCATTGAGAGAAGCAGGGTGGGGTTTCTTCGGGACAGGAACAATGATGGACTCTTTGAAGCATGTGGGGATCACCGACTGAGATAAAGAGATGTTGAATATCTCAGTGAACACAGGAGCTAGCTGGTATGCGCAGTCTCTTAGGATACGACCTGGGATGCCGTCTGGTCCTGCTGCTTTCCTGGTGTTCACTCTCTTGAAGGCTCTCCTTACTTCATGCTCGGAGATGACGAGCACGTTTCCGGTGCTGGCAGTATCTTCCTGTCTGCAGCCGTTAGCGCGGCTAACACTAGCATTGTTGGAGACCTTAGCTGCAGCCTCGAAGCGAGCATAGAAAGTGTTCAGCTCGTCTGCCAGTCACGGCCGCGTTCGTCATACCGGTTGTTGGTGCTTTATAGTCCGTTATTGTCCTTAGTCCCCGCCACAGGCTCCTAGAGTCACTCTGTTGGAGTTGTGACTCTAGTTTCCTCCCGTAGCGCTGCTTCGCCTCTTTCACCGCCCTCCGCACGTTATATGACGCGGCTTTGTACGGGTCCATGTCCCCCGTCATGAGTCCCGTGTTGTAGGCAGCGGTGCGGGATCTCAGAGCGTCGCGGATGGTTTTATCCACCCACGGCTTCTGGTTGGGAAACGTTGTGATAGTCTTTGTCTCCACGGTATCATCCGCTAGTTTCCCGATGAATCATCCAGCTTCATCCTCCAGCTTCACTGTTTATGCTATGCTAACATAGCTGTGTCGCTAGCGATCACATAGCACA